AAACATTCATCGGTGGAATTAAATGACTTACCTGATGAGATTCTTATGATTATTTTGAAAAAATTGTACAATGTCCAAGTACTTTATTCTTTAATAGGTGTTAATAAACAACTCAATACAATTTTACATGATCCAATTTTTACAAGTCACTTAACATTGATGAGATGTTTCTCAGATGATTCCATCGATTCATTACCTGATCCAATACTTGATCGATTTTGTTTACAAATCTTACATGAAATTCATTATAAAATTCAATGGCTTAATCTTGAATCATCATCTATGAAACGTATTCTTCTTGCTACAAATTATCCGACTTTATTTGGACTTGGTTTATATGATATTGAGATAGAAACAGCTCTGTCTCTCTTTATTGGTAAGATATTTTCTTCAATTCTTTCGACAATTAATTAACAAAAAATACATACAAAAATCAAAATGATGTCGAATATTTAATTTATACAAATAGATTTAGATTATTACGCATTTTTTTCTTATAAAATATTTCTGTACTGTACTGATACAAACTGACAAACATAAATTCGAGGAAACGTAGTCGTAGAAAAACGATACAAGGAATTATTTATAATTAAAGCAATATTTGAATAAAATTCTCTAGTGCCTTTAATTGAAATCTTAAACATTGATACTGTAAGAAAAGTATAGAATAAAATAAATGACTGAAATAAAACACAATATCGATGATACAATATCATTTCCAAAGAATTTCAAAGAAAAAGATCACACATATACATTACAGAATTGTTAGAAAGAATAAATATATCGATTTAATGATGAAGATAAAATCTAATATGTTTTTTGTTGACTTAGTACTTTTTTTTATTTAGACGAATCTTGTTTAACTTCTATAAATAAAAATCAAATCTCGTCGCTTGTGGTCGATATTACTAAATATGAAAAAATAATTTCAAGTAGCGATGCGAATATACGTATATTTACACATATTTTTACAATGTTCTCTAATTTACAATATTTAAATTTTTGTCCATCTTCACTTTGGAATCAACGATTATTCTTTTACAATCCATATCCAGGTATTAACTCTTCAACTCTCTTAGAATTGCATATCTGTTTGAAACGGTTCTCTGACTGTCTTTATATACTTGATGGGCGTTTCAATAAACTTCACACACTTTATGTTGATATTGATTTCATTTCCTCTTCGGATTTAACAAACAATAATAAGGTAAATTATTTTGGTTAATATTGAATTTTTTCGAACAAATTTATTATATGGTTTTTATAGGAAAAATTACCCGATTTAAGATGTTTTTCGCTATATTGTGGAATGCCAACAGATGCTTATAATAAATTAATTGTACCATTTCTACAAGGAATGTCGAATTTAGAAAAACTCTATTTGAATGTTATTTGTGAGACAAATACATTTATTCGATGGAAATGAATTGAAGCAGAATATTATTAATCATATGCCACGATTAGAGAGATTCGAATTTTATATTTGCTCAGGCATTTATTTTCGTAAACAAATTTATCTACCATCGAAAGAAGATATTCAACATACATTCAGAGATTTTAAAGATGATCAAGTTATTTCTTATGTTGATTATTTCCAAGAAGAACCATATAGTCTATGTCATATCTATTTGTATCCTGGCCAATTAAAATATTACTATACTGTAACAAATAATTTTCCAGGTGTCTTATTTACATGTGTTCGTAAAATATCTTTATATGATGAACGTCCTTTTGAACATGAATTTTTTCTTCGAATTGCTCAATCATTTCCAATTTTGAAAATACTTTCTTTAAAAAATTCTAAGCCACAAAATAACAAACTATACAGAGAATCAAAGAATGACAATCAAGATTTTTCGATCATTAAATATCCTTATCTTACTAATCTTACACTTTACTTTGCTCATGATGATTATATCGAAGAATTTCTGGTTGATACGAAAGTATGTTTACCGGATAATGCTGTTCATCTTAACATTGATTATGAACAACTAAACAGAGTGACACACAATTTTACAAGAGATATAACACGAATCAATTGTGCAAAACTGGGTTCTTTATGTCTGAATGGTCGTCGACTTCCTAACTATGCAAAAGACTATTTTCCAATGTATAAATATCGATTATTATCAATGCTTATGTAAAATAAATTGATTTGTATTGGATAAAAGTATTAAAATAGAGACAGAATTTATTTCATATTTGATTGAAACGACTCGCAACTATGTATGTACAAGAAGAGCCACACATGATAACACAGGACTGATAGAAAAATGTTATTCTATAGAAAAAAAAAATTCGGAATAATAGCTCAAAGTCGAGTTATTTGATACCATATAACATGAAATATGTGTTTTAGAATTGAAAATAAATAGAGAGCTGAAAACTCTAAAACAAAAAGCTGTTAATATAATTTATGTTGGATTCAAATGTTGAACAAGAAATATTTGCCCTATTAAGAGAATAAGGTGTTATATACGACAGCTTTTTAAATTTGTCTGTATATAGTTATACTGTTTCATTTTAAAAATTCGGAAAAAGATACAGTAAACCTCACTTTTGACGTTATTGCTGTGACGATCTGTAAGAAAATCAAGTAAAATCATTTTACTTGAGAATTATTTGTTTCTAAAGTGTAGAGTTAATTATAAGCATAGGTTTTATGTAGCATTCTATCTAACTTCTATATCGAAGAAAGGGAATGTTGTGTAAATTTATGATGAACAACTGAAGTACCCGGCATTGCCCGGGAAAATTCGATATTGTATGCTTGACATGTCAAGCAATTTCAATGCGCATAGTTCATCTTAAATTTTCTAATATGCACATTAGAAAATTTAAGATGAACTATGCGCATTGAAATACAGTTTTTATTGTAACGCTGTTTGATGCACAATGTTTTTAGGTTTCGCAGCAGGGGCAAAGACATACAAATTCTTCCCTGTTCCAACTCTTGAACACGCTACGTAAAGTTGACCATGCGAAAGCAAGGAGTCTCTAGGTTAATGACAGTAACCTTAAGGGACTCTCCTTGAGCTTTATTGATGGACACTGCAAAGGCAAGACGCACTGGACACTGCAGACGTTTGAATTCAAAAAGCATATCAGAAGGAATGATGGATATTCGTGGTATGAATACAGCCTCGCCCGTTGCGCGGCCTGTCAAGATGATTGCTTCAATAACATAAGGCATCAGCCTCTTAACACATAATCGTGTGCCATTGCATAGTCTTGGTGCATCCAGATTTCTCAGGAGCATAATGGGAGGAGTGGTGTCACATATCCAGAATATCAGGCATGCTGGAGAAGTGTAGGGAGATGCTGGGAGATGCCAAGGGGTGTGAGATGTGGGTGGGGTGTGGGTGTGGGTGTGGGTGTGGATGGGTATGAGTGTGGATGGGTGTGGGTGTGCGTATTGGTGTGTGGGTGTGGGTGTGGGTTTAAAGATTAGACGGGCACTAACACCCGCATCCAGCTGCACCCACACCCACTCTCCACACCCTATTCCGAGGACAGCTGTAATAACCGTAATCAATGAAACTACGTACATTGTTACAACCCAAATACTTTAGAAAGGCGTCCCGTGTGCTTTCGCCCCACCCTCAAGATGCCCCGTGGACGATTTTTCGCCCCTACCCTCAGCGAAAGAGGTGTCTTGTCGACGTGTTATCGCCCTCATCCTCAGTAAGAGCGATGCTTTGTGGATCTCTCTCTTCCTCCACCCTCAGTGAAAGTGATGCCTTGTGTGTATTTACGCCTGTGTATATTTCCATTCCCTGCCTCGCTTATGTGAGTGTCACCGGAAGGAAATGACTATTATCAAGCTCGCATAGTTTCCTAGCGACCCATAGTATTTTTCTGAAATCGATCCATTTTGCCGAAAGTCATTTGCTTTCTAGAAATTCATTTGATTTCCCTAATAGCCATATAGAGCATCATATCTGTGAGGCTTGGTGGGTCTATAGCTATTAGCTGAAGGCCTTCTACATCCACCAAGCCACGCCGTATTCAAAAAGGTATAGCTAATAGCTACAGATCCACTAGACCCCACCCTATTTAGGAAAAGGTATTGCTTTTAGCTACGGATCCACAAAGTCCCACTCTATTCAAAAATACGTATAGGTAGTAAGTATAGGCCCACCAAGCCCTGCAGTACTACAAAAAGGAACTGCTCATTCTTAGCCTCCTTACCTACCGTTTCACATAAAAATGAAGTGCCGCTTTTTTGCTTTGAATTCAGAAAGAATTGAAATAGACCATTGTATGATTAGAAACCGCTATCCACTAATTTTCTACTAAAGGTGTAAGCCGTATAGCTGAGCCACCGCCACGAACGAAAATTTTTGATGATAGTATGAGGCGCCGCCGCCGTTGACATCGATACACAGGAGATCGCTCATTTTTTCGTCTTTTAGGAGCAAAAACGTTTTTTGGCTGTTAGCCGACGCCGCTATGGAAAAAAATTTGCACATTAGAACCGCCTCCGCTGTTTGATTCTTTGGCTTACTCCACTATTTCCTACGGAAAAATGATCTGGGTACTTATTCCTATTTGGGTTTTTTATCTACAACTAATATTTACAATAGTTATCTTTAGTGCTAGTTGCATAATCATTTGATATTTTAATAGACTAATATTTAGATGTATACACTGTGCCACCGCTACCGCCGCCACCGCAATAAAAAAAAACATTGTTTTTATACCCAGCGCCGCCACATATGGAGAAAACAACTGAGGTGTCTCTTTATTAAAAATAAAAATGACAAAAAATTATAGTTTAACTGTTCAAAATGAATTGATTAAAACTCTTATACATCAATAGTAACATCTAACAGCAGCATTATTGTTTTTGATGTATGCAGGAAGATTTACCGAAGTGAGACTGTTCATGAAATAAGTGGTTCCTTTACAACCGGAATTGTAATATATGGTACATCCAGCTTTATTGTCAACCCATCCGCTAGCCATGTTATTTTTCATATCGGGCTTGAAGTTACAGCAATCTCCTTTGGGACATGAACGTTTAAAACAATTAACACCATTTGAATTTACACAAGCAGCAAAAGTTCCACCAGACACCATGGAAACAGTAAGACTGAGAAAGACGGCCAAAAGAACAAGATAAGCCATTTAATTAATTATTCACAAAATCTATAATAAAAATAAATCAAATATTACTTAGTGCATACCAAAAGTAGTGACGGGGGTTCGGTAATCCGTCATAAAAATCTTTAAGAAACTCTTTTTCTATATAGTCTGATAGAGAAAAGAATGCTCTATTTTCCTATGCTACTTGATCATACTTCAACTAGTATGATGATAATAAATTTTTCGTTATCATTTGTGCTCGTAGTAAGTTTTGCATTGCAGTTGTCAATTCCTTATCAGTTGTATTAACAACCCAAATATACCATAAGATGTAGCGTGAAAAGCTCTACAATCTGCATAGTAAAGCTCATTGTAATTGTTTTCAAAAAAAGAAAATGTATTAAGGGTTTAAAAACTAACCTGTCTCAGACATTTTGATCTAGTACAACGAGCACAAATGATAACGAAAAATGTCTTATGAAAAATTTATTATCATCATATTAGTTGAAATATGATCAAATAGCATAGAAAAATAGAGCATTCCTTTCTTTATCAGTCTATATTGAGAGAAATTTTTGTAAACCTTTTTTATTAGGAATTACCGAACCTTCGCCATTGCTTTTGGTATGTCCTAAGTAGAATTATATATCTAATAACATATAAGAAATTGAAAAATAGAGTTAAATCATTTTTCATCAATTAATCCATAACATATTCTAATGATTTGCTGTACATTTAGACTAATTTAAAACAAAAGGATGACAAGGTTTTCAATGATCTATAGTTGTACTAAATATTAATATATTTCCTTAGAATAAATACTGTTTTGAATTTTTTCTTTCAATCGTCTTTAATTGAACTTAATTGTAAGCACAAGTAATCGAATGCTTCGTATAGATGGTTTACGACTATCGGGATCACTCTTAATGCATGGTTCATTTGCTTGGATTTAAACTTGGCGGTGGTTAGAATGTAATATTCTTGTTATTCGCTAAGCTGTCTCTCTCTAGGTTTGATTATTGAGTATGTATCTCAAAATCCTTGTCAACAGAGCTGATCTTTTAAGCTATACATGTTAGACATTGTCTATCATGTAAGAAAAACTGTTAGTTGTTTGTGATTCATGTTTAAGTGTTCGAAGAAAAAAAAATCAAATAGGTGCAAGACAAGTTTTAGTGTGAGATTTTTGATCTTCAATCAAACAATTCACAATTTTGAGTTTGTGTACAGCTTTTGCGTAACTCATAGTAATATTTTGAAAGAATACTATTTGACAGCAAACCTATATTTGATAGTAGGTTGAAAAATTTATAAGTAATCCTAGTTATATCACAAACTAAGATAGTGATCGTCTTAATACAACAATGATACTTACATTAAAGTTATATCAATGATGAATAACTTCTTATTGTATAGAAGAAATATCTCACTTGTAAAAGTTGAATTTTATTGAATGAAATTGCTTCGATCATTTCTAATGTATTTATATCGTTTGCTCTTAAAAGCTGAATTACACACATGATAATAAATTACTTATTTTAGAATATAAATCGTCGTAATTATATACTTGAATGAATAAGGGAGTATACAAAGTTATTTTTAGAGCATATACTATGTGGGTTATCAAGTTATACTACATAAACTTCTTATAAATATTTATATTTGATAAGATTATGTTACTATTTACTTCATTCATATATCCCCCTGCAATAAAAAAAGGTGCACACGGTATTTTTGACAAATCATTACTATAAATTAACATTTTGAGAAAAGAGTCTGGATGGGGTGTGAGTGTGGGCTGAGAGAAGAGCCAACCTACTCACACCCATACCCATGAACAATTATCTGCTAACCAACTAAGTGTTATGGATAATTAACAACCTATCAAACCTGACCTTGATACTGTTGAGTGTTTGGTGTTGGATAAAGGACTTTGCACAGGGATATCGCCTGAATTCTGAACGACAGCTGGTCTAGGAACATAATGTGAGGGATGCATTAATAATACTCAAAACATTTGTCATCAAATAGTCACAAGTCAAGACTAGTAGATGTA